TACAGCTCCGCAAATGCCAAGAGAATACTGCAGATTTGCTTTCAGTTTAGCATTCAAATGCTTAGCACTGAGGCAGGTAACAGGAATTTGGTAAGGCTATCTATCTTTCCCAGCCTGGGGGCTGCTCCCAGAGCACTATATGTGCCCTATATATGCACTATATTCAGGTGCACAATGGGCTGCCACAGACGTGGTCTCCATCAATGTACCATGTTATTTTGGTTTTTCTATTTCTTTTCTTTTTTGTTGTTGTTTACTTCTTAAGTAAATTAATTTCCCCAAGATACGGTGCCTAACGATCTGACTATCCATGATATACTTCAAATACTGGAATACATTAGACTATAAGAAGGCCCTATGGTGATTTGCTAATTAGCTTAACCCTTTTGGGACACGGAAGAAGGAATTTTTTATTAAAACAGGGTAACCCTGGACTATATTGATCTGACTGAGAAATGAGTATTTTAGTCAAGATGAGTCTCAAGATGAGTACATGCTGGAAATGGTGATGTTGTTTCCATAGCAATGCCATGACAGCCTCTAGAGTGAAACAGTGTGCTACCAGGAAATGAAGGGAGTTCAAGTGCTATGAGCAACATAGTTCTGTGAGCAATCCAAATACATTCTCATAAAGAATATTTAGTACAGCTAGATAGTCCAAAGATTGCTGCTGATGTGAAGTAAGCCTTATGAATACGCTTCCAGCAGTCCTGTTTTCTCATTCACTACACCCAAGATGACTTATCTAAAAGCTTAAGCTATGGGCAACACTGCTAAGCCATTTCAGACCGAATATTAACAAATACAGCAACCTTTACCTCACTTCTTTTCCAATGAAGAATATCATCCATAATTAAGGACACTGACTCTCGTTCTCCATAACATAACCAAACACATTAAACCTTTTAGCGAAGAAAAGCCTCATATGTGCAATTATTTGCCAGCTGACCTTCCCCCTTCCTGTTCTCTCACCTCCTCCTCTCCCTTGCCTCCTCCTGCCCAAACAATACTGGGCAAAGCTGCTTCCAAGTGGGAAGCAACGTACAGCAGTCTTGCTTATTCCTCATGAAAATTTACACAGCCACAGCATAAAACTCACTTGTCTGCTTTTTACCCCAGTTAGCGTTTATGCTAATACAAAGGCAAACCAGAAAACCACTAATTGTACTTTATTTGCCTAAGGCTTTACCTAAGGCAAATATTCTGGTCAAAGTCTGCAAAGCTGATTTAAAATATTTTCCAAAGAAGACAGAAAGAGGTTTAAATTAATATCTGCATTGCTTTGTCTTTTCATTTTCAAAGAAATGAACGATTCTCAGTGATCTGTAAAACTGCTAAAATAATGGTTATAACCCAACTGGTCTCAAATAAAATTCTATAAGACAAAGTACTTTACTTGAAAAACACCCTAGCATACCACTGCTAATCCATTCTTTCTCCAGCGTTTCCCATGCAACTTGTAAAGATGTTCAAACATGAGCTGAATGTCCAGAAACTCTACCACTGTACTTGTTGTTTGTGTCATTGTCACAACCAGCCTCTTGGGTAAACAGATTGTAGTTCATTATATGTAGCAGTGCTGCCTCTGAGGGAAAGTAGAAAGACAAATACACATCACAGCCAGATCCCTTATTAACAAATGCCACTTCAAACCAAAATGTTTTCTATTTATTGTTTTAAACATGTATTTCAAGGAATCAAGCCTTGCATGTAAAACAGCAAGATGCTTCATTTCCATTTTGCATCTAGTAAAAAGATGTGAAGCAAGCATTTTTAAAACTGCCTGAGCCTCCTCCTGCCTGTCCCCCTAAGTGTGTTGCAGAAGGCACCAAGCCCACCAACATTCATTTATAATTTAAACTGTTTGCTTGGCAGAATTTTTTCATCTTAATATGTCTAGTCCTAATTGCAACTGGCACACCCAATGTTTTTACCAGAAGCTCATCTACTTCCAGGAGAGTTTTATGTAACTGGGTTTCCTGTAGGAGAGATGGGACAGATGTTGAAATCTAGTGGAAAACGTGCCCCTGCAATTTTACATGGACTTACAGGGCTCTATATGAACAAAAAGATACCTGTGGAAAGACTGATGCAAATTTAACTTACTCGTCCCCTTCTTCCAGTTACCGTGGTCTCCCAGTTAATTCCCCAATACGAGCAATATTCTGTAACTATCTCACCTTCTTTTGGAACATCTATCTCAACTTTTCTGTTTATCAAAGAATTAAGTAAAAGTAATCTGCCTGATGATCTGGTTTGGACAACTGAGTACAGATACAGCTTATATTGTCTGAAACAGAAGTGGATACAGCCTATTTAACTAGGTCTGCTCTCTTGAATACATACTGGTATCCAGCCACAAAAGTCAATCTGCTGCCACCATGGCCAGCTTAGCAAGAACGGTTTGCCCCTAGCATTGACCATCCCTTTACCTAGCGTTCTCTCCTATCACTGCCTAAACTCTCTCATCACAGTCCTCCCAGATGTTCATTCATGTGTATCTAAAAGAAGCAGCAATATCTGTATCCCAATCCAGGATAGAAAGCCAGTTATTCCAAAGTCATCCACGTAAGTATCCCAAAGCCACCCAGATACAGGAAAAGTTTCCTATCCTAAAACAGAAACACACTCTTAATTTCCCCCTCATCATCTTCTTAGAACATACTCAGAAATCGAGCGTGCTACTATAAATGGTATCATGTTTTAAGAGTTAAAGCAATGATTCAATCAGAAACTCTAAAACACTTTTTATCAGTAAATATTCAACGACAGGGGTGTGCTAATGCTTGAAACAAAGTCCATGCAGCTGTCACCGAATACAGCAGTTGAACATACAGGAGTAGAAGCAATAACACCCTAAACAGTTAATTCAATCTCAGATAATTTTGCTATCCATGCTGTTCCATCAAGACATACGGTAGTAGTTACGATTGTAAGACTAAGTCTGTTTTTCAGCTCTTTCCTAGTATATTGCTAGAATTTGAAACATTATTGGAGGCCAAGTGGTTCTGAAGCCTGCATACAAGTGTTTTCTTACTAAGGGCAAATGAAATGTTGTTAATCAGGGCTATGAAATTTATAGTTTTCATAAGCAATTTCTTTAAATTTTCTGCCTCAATTTCCTCATCCACAAAATAGTAGACAAATTCATCTATCTACCAGCCTCTTAATCTTTTGTAAGGATAAATTGATCAACACATACAAAGGATGTGAAGATAAAAAGCTCTGCATAAATGCTAAGAATTATTTTACACTACCATATTCACAATACTTTTGTTCTGATTCTATCAATACTCCCATAGTAAACCTTTTCTTTTCAAAGATTTACACACATTTGGGGTTTAAAAATTCATTTGGGGCTGATATTTCTGTCAATAAGCTCTTAGCGTGGCAAATGACTTAATAAAAACTCATGCTGTCCTCACGAACTATAGTAACTATTTGGTTTTTTAAAACTTGTCAGAAATATTTCTCTTGGCAAGCCATAGTTTATAAAACAGCTTTTAACACAATAAAAGGGATTGCCAAAAGCAAAGACTTATCTTGTATAAGTATTCTGGAGTGTGATCTGGTTATCATACACAGACATACAGAGATTGCTGTGCTTGGTCTGACTCACTGCTCTGCTTTAGAAGAAAGAGGAGGATACACAGTAGAGGAGAACACACAGTAGCCACGTATAAAAGTGTCCAGGACAGAGACAAGACTGGAAGGTGAAGCTACAGTGAGGAAGACACTGTCAGGAGACACGCTGCTACTCCATATAGGTGTGCTGACAAACGATTTTCCTACTCTGTTCTCTCTTACTAAAGAATGGAAGTACAGTTGCTTGGATATCGAAGGCAGACATAGCTGGACTTTGAAGAACCACATATAAATTGGTCCTATATAAACAGTCATATTAAAGAGGGCACCATTTAGCTTGCTTAATCTAGACAGGTGAAAGACAGAAAAAGAATACGAGTTCGGAAACAAACTGAGGAGATATTCCCTACAGTCCCCAGGGTAAAGGCACCTGTCACTTGATCCTGCAAAGGCAGTTTTTTAAGGACATTGAGTAGTTTGATTTAATGAAAATGTTTCCTGTGACATTAACAAAGCACGGATTAAGCTTCACAGATGATCTGGCCTATGAAGGAAGAAATATAAACAATCACCAGAGGCAGGGAGAACACCCCATCACGTTGGTACTTTCTTTTAGGAATTTGCCCCCAGTAGGACACTTTGACGTCTAATAGTCCCTCATACAAATCCACAGAGAAATAGTCTTCTAACTCCTTTTGAAATACTTAAAAAGAAATCACCAAAGGAACACAACATTCTGAGCTGGCCCCATAACCTATTTCTCTTCTTACTGGTCCCTTTATGTTCTCCAAAACACAGAGAATCACTTTTCTTGGCTACATTTTCTTTTGTTCCTCCTCCAAGCCACCCTGTTGCAGTGCAAGGGGCAGCCTCACAGATGACTGGAATGATCCCACAACGCAGCTTTCAGGATGACGCCAGCACTTGATAGAGCAACGACTGCATTAATCACAGACACAACAACTCATGCAAAGCAACTGAGCCTTATCCCCAAACCGTGCACATTTCAGGCATTAGGGTTCTGGAAAGCAGGATGATGGAGAACAGAGGGCACGGTCAGGGTAAGGACTGACCTTTCAGCAAAACAAGGTAGAGTAGCTCAGCATGAAATGTCTTCAGGAAATAACAGTATAGAGTATTCTAATCAGGTGGATAGTTACCATTCAGCTGGCATCAGTTTCCTATTTACTTGTCATTAACCAACTCCAAGACTGTTATTTTTCACATAAAATTCCCTGATTTCTGCAACCTCTTAGCTGTCTCTTATGATATCCGAACATTTTCTGTTGCAAATACTGCAGGGATTCTGATAAGTAAAGGTATATTTTAAAATCTGCAGAAAAATATTTTAAAACAGCTCTCTTAAGCCCCACTAATACTATCAACACTGAGCAAGGAACCACAATAAAGGATACTGAAGCTCCTGTCTGTGATTGCTAAATGCCAGAGGTTAATCCTGAGATCATCTGCTGACATGTATGTCTCACAGTCACTGTTGACGGATATTGAGTTGACATGATAGGTGTGACCATTAGCAAAGATTCTCCGGGGAGTGACTTCTACCATCAAATCCATAGGTTTCAATACAGGCACCTGCCAAAAAAAACAAAACACAAACCAGAAAAGGAGTAAGATTTTAAATAATTTTTTGCTAGGATGATGAGAGTTTCAATGGAGAGAAAGCATTCAAAGACTGTGACATTATAAAACTTCTCAACAATGTATGCAAGCTGAATTCCCCCATGGATGAATTGCTGGGCAAGGCCATCCCTGCCAAGGAGGAAGGGAGAGACAGGAGAGCCACGGAGAGCCAGGCAGAGCAATGGAAAGCCTGGACTGTGGGAAAGCAGGCACTGGAATGCCTGGACTATGGGAAGGGAGGCACTGGCAGCTGCCACAGAACAGGCCAGTCCCACAGCAGGAGCTACTGTCCCACATATGCAGGAGGCTCTGGCTCTGACAAGCAGTGAAGTCCTAGTATTTTGCTTTTGCTGAAGAGTTTGCTGTTAGCTGTAAATCACAGTATTTCTTTTGCTACTTGATGTCTCTCTCAAAAAAGTCAAGTGGTGAAAAGGTTTTAATCTCAGCAAAACATAATAAACAAAGTCTTGGAAAACAAAGCCAACATGTGTATTGACATACCGTACGTACACACATACTCCTGAAAAGCTAAGACCACAGACTATTACTCATCATTGCGCCCTCATTATTTCCCTGTGTGTCACTTCAATGTCATGCTTCAATAACTAGACACTGTCAATTTATTCCTTATTGTTAAAGCGTTAAACACTGTAAGGCTGTGGTCCATGATTGGGAGTATTCGATGTTGTTGAACACACATCAGAAACAATCTATCATACATCAATCCACAAGATAGTTTAAAGAGGAACACAGACAAGTTAAAGCTTTGAGTTTAGCTTGCCACTAAAGGAACAAAACAATGGTTCGCTCAGCCTTTGACTTCTCAGACTATAAGCAATCTGGAATGGTTTTGTTTGCCTAATCATACAGAATGGATAAATATTCCCCATTAATCTTTACACTTTGGAGGCTTTTTTCACAATAGACAATATTGGCTTGTTTTGGAGGTGGGGGTTGTTTGTTTGTTTCTAATAATAAAGAAATAGTAGCATTTATACAACATAGCCTTCCAGTTCTAACCTTTAGCACTTCCTTTGCCAAAACACCTGGAGTGAATTCAGCCATTAAATCTGAGAGCAAAAATCTATTACGTTATCATATGTGCTTATATGAGTTCCATGAATGCAGAACCTCACATTCACTGGAGCACAGACTATTGCAAATCCCACTCTTCAGATAGGAGATAATTCTTTTATACTACTGAAATAAAGATGAGACTGAAATTTGGTGTACCGTCTTTAACTCAGTTGCTCTGAATGAAGCAAGAACACTGTTTAATATTAATTACAAGTAGACTGCTTCCAGCACACCAGGCTAAAGAATCCTGTGTGAAAGCACGTTAATTCACGCTGAGAGAACTTTATCAGGAAGAATAAAACTGACATAAACTCTCTAAACATATTTGTGTTAGTCACTATATCATAAAGCATTTGTGACTTGAAAATGTGTGACAGATTCAAGACCTTATCAGTCAGCTAGAACTTCAATAAGAATAATCATATATATGCTTAGCATTAGGTACATACTTAAATCTTTTACTGAGTTCGCACCCATGACTACCTTCTTCGTACAGAAACAACTGGATTTTGGACAAAGACAGCAGCTTACCTGCAGTGATGTTACTGTAGAAAGATCTTTAAGTTTTCCTTCTTCATCTTTTAAGTTGTACCCCTCTGGTCTCTTATCTCTTTCAGTAATTTTCCATAACTTGATTGTTTTATCTTTAAAAGAAAAGACAAACAATTGTCAGCATAGGAATTCTGAATGTGGTTATTCACCTTTCACAATACAATCCTTAAAGAAATTTCTACACCTTGGTTTAGACAAGTCCCGTGCTGAAACAGTCTGGGTCACTTTATTTTGCACATCCAGAAAATGTTGCCAACAGAAAAAATACTCATAAAGCACATCCCGTACCTTCAGACCGAGTCAGAGGTTACTGGTAGCGGACTGACCATGTAGAGCACATGCTGCTCTCCTATCCAGCTTGGCAGTTTGCAGGTGGAACAGACCAAAAACACTCAATGCTCACTGCTGAAGCTCAGTTTGACAATTTGACTTTGCAAGGAAATAATCTTGATATTAAAGCCAGTTTGATAGGTTACTTATAAACAGCAAAAGAAGAGCATGGAGCAGACAGACACACCAACGATACCTGCCTGACCTATTGTGGGAATGGGCAGTGGTGCATTGGTGTAACATCAGGAGCTCCAGCAAACAAAAGGCTGTGTGAAAAATGAGATATTTCTCCCTCCTAAGGGAAAGCAGCTGAGAAATAACTGAGAAAAAAAACTGAGAGCATTCTGTTGTAAGGGTAAGAGAGAAGTGGGGAGAAAAATATATTAATCTTACATGGAATGGAATTAAATCTAAACTCTCCCTTTTTCATGATGGGTGAAGCATAAGATGATAGAATAAGAATGCCTCTTGTTTAGCAAAGAGCCTCTGAAGCCAACAAATAGAAGTTTTAAACATTTCAGATGGAGTTTCTCCTTGGTTTTGTAGTAGCTGAAGCTGCAGATTTCCCTAACGTTGATCGTCCACTCCCACTCTGATCGCGCACCCAACCTGCCAACCCTAACACCCTCTAGGCTGAAAAATCAATGCCAACTCTTCTCCTGCAAAAAATCTGTCCCCAAGCTTCTAACGGTTGTTTCACTCTGTCCTGGTTTCGGCAGGGATAGAGTTAATTTCCTTCCTAGTAGCTGGTACAGTGTTTTGGATTTAGGATGAGAACAAAGTTGATAACGCACCGATGTTTTTTAGTTGTTGCTAGGTAATGCTTACACCAGCCAAGGACTTTTTAGTTTTCCATGCTCTACCGACTGAGAAGGCTGGAGGTGCACAAGAAGCTGGGAGGGGGCACAGCCAAACTGGCCAAAGGGACATTCCATACCGTGTGACGTCATGCTCAGTACATAAACTGGGGAAAGCTGGCCGGGGGGGCGGTTGCTCGGGGACTGGCTGGGCATCAGTCGGCTGTTGATGAGCAATTAGGGTTTTTCACATCACATGTTTTTCTTGGTTTTGTTTGGGTTTTTTGGTTGTTGGTTTTGGGGGGGGGGTTTGTTGTTT